TATTTTTAGCTTTAAGTAGCTTTATGTAGCTTTGCCTTCTTTTCTAAGCCTAAATCCAGCTGAATTTCGTTATCCTAGGTATTCTTATAGTTTCCAGTAGATGGCAGTATTGCCTTAGATTTTGGTTGCTAAAGTCTTTTCAGCTGCTACACGCATGCACTTATCACTCTAAGTCCGATTATCTTTTGCGATGTTGCGTCAGCGTTTCTCCTCCGTTCAGTAAGTGGGTCATCCTCTTCCTATGTTGTCCTCCGCGCCGCCTTCCTCCTTCACGCCTCCACGTCTGCCCTCCATCACTCCAGCATCTTTCGTTGCACTCTAGATTGCCTCGTCAGGGTAATGTTCAGTAAGTGGGTCGTCCTCTCCCTACGTTGTCCTCCTGTGCCGCGCCGCGCCGCCTTCCTCCTTCACGCCTCCATGTCTGCCCTCCGTCACTCCAGCATCTTTTGTTGCACTCTAGATTGCCTCGTCAGGGTAATGGCTCCCATTAAAGTAACCGCTCCACCATAGAAGAGAAAGGGTACAAATTTATTCATCTCTTATTTGAGTTTGGTTAATTTTGCTGACTCTCCTAATATCTCGCTCTCCTTTCCCCCAGTCTATTTTAAATCTCTTCCCACCTGTATGCTGTACTCATCCGTCGTAGCCGCTCTTTGGAAGAACTTTTTCTCTATACCTTTAAAGGGGTTAACCTTAAACCTCTAGCTCTCCCTGAGATCTCCCCCCCTCCCAAGAGTTATTGCCATAAGTTATCAAGAAGAAATATTTTTTATTTTCACTTAGCTTCGTTCAAGTCTTTCTTTGGGGCAATGCCTCTGGAAGACTCTATCGGTTCTACAGGGTTTCTTTGTTGCTTGGCGTGGCTGGCATCTCGTCGGGCTCCTACTTGCTTCCTGCTTCAGAGCTGCTCAAAAGTACCAGGGAGCCGCCGCTTTTACCTGGTTCTTTAGCAAAAAGCTCTTTGCTCTGTCTCTCTCTCTCCGGGAGAGACCATTAAGGCATATATATTTGCCTGAAAAGCAGTAGGTTGGAGCTGTGTGTGAGAGAGCACTTTCAATCCACACCTGCTCCCGTTGAAACCGGACAGCAAATATTTGGCTTTGAATGGTAACTGGAGCAGCAGATATTAATGGGGCAATTTTGGGGCCTCACAACACCAGGCTAGTAAGATAAATGGCTCTGTACTTTAACTGTTGAGGGGATTTGTGAGTTGATTATGCTGGGGAGCCTCCTAGTTTCTCACCTATAGGTTGGAAGAAAAGTTTGCTGTGTTTTTACTGTGCACTAAAGCAGTTGATAGGATGACCTGGCCGAGATGGTGCTTGGATGCCAAAACTGTCCTTCTGTGTGGAGACAAACTAAGCAGTGAAGAGCTGCATGGAACTTCTGGCAGCACCTGCCCATGGCAGTTTAGAAGTGCAAATCTGATCCCTGACGCTCAGCATATGAGAACAGCTTCACCTTACGCGAACTCCTTGCCTGCCCCTGTACTGTTGGGGGCAACTGCGAGATCATTACAGTTTGAATAGTACTTTTGCTATGGTGCAAGGAAGGTGTTAGAAATGGGGAAGTCCCAGCATATTTCTGGATTTGGGGCTAATACAGCACCATTCCTAGCTAATCCTAGCCCCATCCAAGCATTTTATTTCCACTGGATCCTGTTCCTTCAGGGTGGGGCTCGGTCTGCTGACTGCATTGCCATTAATTGGTTGCTGGCAGTCCTTGTTCCTGGGGGTTTCAGGCGCTGCAATGCAGGGTGGGGATTTAGGGGCACATTCAGACTTGCGTGCTGCTCAGTCTCCAACCTGTGGCTTTGAATGCTGAGGGGTAAGGTGGCATATTCCTTTTAAAGTGAAACACTCCTGCTTGGAAGCTTGTTTCTGATGCTGAGGCAACACCAGTCTTCTCCACTTTTAATGCGTTGCTCTCCACTTCCTGTGCAGGGATCAAGCCATACCAGTGTGATGAGTGCCAGTACTGCACCAACCGAGCCGATGCCCTGCGCATCCACAAGGAGACCCGCCACCGCGAGGCCCGCTCGTTCATCTGTGAGCAGTGTGGGAAGGCCTTCAAAACCCGCTTCCTCCTGAAGACTCATCTGAAGAAGCACAGCGAGGAGAAGCCATATGTCTGCAACGTGTGCCACCGGGGCTTCCGGTGGGCAGCTGGCTTGCGGCACCATTACCTCACCCACACCAATGAGCACCCTTTCTTCTGCCGCTACTGCAGCTATAAGGCCAAGCAGAAATTCCAAGTGATCAAGCATCTGCAGCGGCACCATCGTGAGCAGGGGGACCTCAGCAAAGGGGTGGGCAAGGACCCCAGCACACTCACGGTCCATCTGCATGATGTCCAGCTGGAGATTTCCCCCTCCAAGCACCCAGGGGAAGGAGAGGCTCAGGCATTACCACACAGCTGATTTGAGACAGACAGATGGACTTAGAAGTCAGGGCTGCTCTGCTGTATTCTCCATGAGCCATAGGAAGGCAGGCGCCTACTGCTGACCGGACAGGGAGTCACGTCCAAGCCATTTCAAGCCCAGTGGGATGAACACAGGCCATCCTAGGCCGCGTATGCATTTGTGTATGTTTATAGGCATATCTGTATATCTGATGTAAAGGATGTTACTGTATAAAAGGGATCTTCAGCATTATTTGCAACTTGGATGGTCACTGGATTTATTTGGGTTTGCACGCTAGAATAGGGGTCACTGACTTTGTTGGGGTTCATGAGGCCAATCATAAAATGTTGGGAGATGCCAAGCCAAGCTTTGCCTTATGATGCAAGCAAGGTTGTCATGATCAGTTATGATCAGCTCTTTACTTTAGGAAAGAATTAAGTGGACACTGGGAAACACATTGACAGGCCCCACAGCACCCTTGAGCACCACATTAGGGATTACTGCACTAGAGCAAGGAAGGTGTGTGTGTGTGGGGGGGTAATATGAGGCTGTGTGGTCAGGGCATGGATCCAGGTTCGACATGAGTTTTTTCAGCCCCCAAGTGGTGAGAGCATTTACTTAAGAGCTTCTATGAGGCTTCTGCCTTTTGACAAGATAGGCTTATAGCTGTACTTAATTGATCTTGTCTATCATAGTGCTATAACCCTCTGTAGGAAGCTTGATCTTCTAAGTTAAGCCTTATGTTCAAGCAGAATTTCAAAACTACATGTACCCTTTTTGGTGACAAGGCAACTAAAAGCTTGTGGTGGAGCCGGGTCTGGAAACAAAGATCCTCCTTGGCTCCCATTGCCTTGATGTTTCTGCTACTCAAAGCTGCCACTCCTGGACAAACCCAAGGGGAGTTTGCTTATATCTCAGCTGCAAATATCTAGGGCAGTGTTCTTATGTGGTGGCTCAGAATGAAAAGTGCCTACTGCTGTAGTCTGTGCCAAAGAATTCAGGGCTGTGATTGACACATACCCCCTCTAACATGAAATCCAGTTGTTATTGTTTCTTTCCAAGAGTCACTTTTAAGGTTTCTAAAGCACGTTTTTAGATGTAAAGTTAGTGAGATGTTGCGGGTGTGTGTGTATGTCTGGGGGAGCATCGAGGCTTGTGGACATCCTATACGCATCATTCCTCTGACCCTGTGGATAGGTTACCCCAATGTTCTCATGAGTTTCCATCTAGTCAGAAAAGAAATCTAAATTATGCAACCAAAACCAGACGGTTGAAGCTTATGAAAATTTGCATACATTATGCAGTGACAGATCCCCCCCCCCAAGGTTAGAATGTAGATCTTTTTCTTCTGTGAAACCGTAACCCTTCCTGTTTCGTTTGCTTGGTTCACTTCCCCCTAGTTTGCCCTCTCTCTTCACTAAAGTAAAACCAAAAATGCTGCAAGTCAGAAAATACAGTGCAGAATCAAAAGGCCTTCCATCCTGCCCTTGCTTTTGGACCCATTAAAAATCACTGCTCGGATTGAAAACTAGAAGCTTGTTCTTAAAAGTAAGGGGAGATGAGATTGCACAAATGCCAAGATTCAAAGAACTGTACAGGCCATGATGAATCTATGATAAAGGCTGAATCAGCTTCAACGCCCTGGCACTTAAAAAAAAAAAAAAGGCAGTTTGTCTCTTGTTATAATGAGTCCTGCTGATGCAATGGATAAAGGCCCCCTGCCACCACCAACTGGATTTATCACTGAGAGGCTCGAATGAGGCCCTCACCCAGTTTGGTGTAGTGGTTAGGAGTGTGGACTTTATATTCTAATAGCAAAGTCCAAGTATCTTTGGCTACTTCAGTCCAGGGACTGGAGCTGTGAATGGACAAGACAGATCTTTCTACAAACCTGAGAAGGACCCTAGGTTTGCAGAAAAATGTGAAAACTAAAAAAATTATACTGGGCATCTTAAAAAATCTGAAAATGATAAAAAGAGCACCTGTAGCTTTAAGCAACGGACTCCCTCAGTGGCTGTTGCTAGGCAATTGCAGTATTCCATGTTCAATTTTCCTGAGTAGGAAAGCCGGGGGAGGGGGAGGGCCCTTTCCAGGCCTATTTTGGCCTTTGAGGAAGAACTCATTGGGGCCAGGCCTGGCTAGGGTTGCCAACTCCAGGTTGGAGAATTCGTGGAGATTTTGGGGTTGAATCTGAAGGTTTGGGTAGGGGAGAGGCCTCAGCCAAATATAATGCTGTAAAGTCCACCATCCAAAGTAGGCATTTTCTCCAGGGAAACAGATCTGTGTTGTCTGGAGTTCATTTGTAATTCTGAGGTATTTCCAGGTCCCACCTGGAATTTGGCAACCTTAGGTCTGAAATAAACCTCTGGATGACTTGATACCACCCAACTGGCATGACTGAACTAGGCCTGGTCAATGTGGTGTAAAGATGGGATGCAGATAAAATATAGGTTGGTAAATGGCTGAGAAGGAGAGAATGAGGCAGATAAAGGGGAGAAGATATGCGGGTTGCCAGGGGGGAGGAAAGATAAAATAATTTGTAGAAGCGGGGGGGGGGGGCTGGAGAGGGGGGGTTTAAAGAGGGGAGGTGCCTCAGAGTGGTATAATGCCACTGTTAGCCAAATTGCCTTCATTTCTTAATATGGGGGAAGTTATGATTATTAATTGGCAATAGGCAAATTAGGGAGCAAACACCGTTGTATACAGAGGTCCCACCTTTTCCAGTAGTTGCCAGTAATAGACACGGAGACTGGATTCAGTATAAAATGATATCTTTTACTGAAGGAGACTGATCATTCAAACAATACACAAGCGTGCACACTCTTATACAGATTCTAGGAAATAAAAATAGATAATAAGCACATTTGCCTTTAGCAGGGTATTTGTTGTTTGAGCAATAGTTACCTGTCCTTGCTGAGTGAACCGTTCCAATGGAAGAAGGGAGGGAAGAAGTAGATATAAGGAACGTGTCCTGAACCGGCAGGAACACGTGGGACTCTGGCTGCAGACCTAGAGTCAAAGATGGAGGGAGGGTGTTGGGACAGCAACCTGGGCGTAAGAGGGATAAAGCTTAGATAGGGGTCGTAGAGAGAGCAAGGATGTGGTTGGGTATCACCTTATAAGGTGGCGTGGGGGGGGCAGGCTGAACTGGCTACATCCCCATGTCACACCTCCTGTTAGTCCGTCCCTGGAAAGATACTATTGGGGTAGAAGGAAAAGGGGAGGACAGCTAGGAAATGGTCAATATTGAGAACTAGTAGCTTAGACTGGGGACTGGCACGTGGATGAAGAAGAAATGAGTCATTGGGCTGGGGCCATTGTCTCTTGATGGTCCTAGCCGGGTCGTTGATGGGCGATCGATTGGTTACCAAGCAACCATGTGTAGATCCTCTTGGTTACATGCATATTTGCAGGTAGATGGAGGAGGGAGGGGAAGGGGGTTGCCTGCATGTGTCAGAGGGAGCTCCTTATGGCATTTGGAGCTCTTTGTCCTCGTGCCTTGGCATGACGTTCTGCAGGCTAGGGAACTGGTCTATCTCACAACAGGTAAGAGGGCAGGTAACCTTGAAGAACCAGTGGAACAACAACGCAAAAGGAAGGTTTTTCTCTCTCAACTGTGCAGTCTCAACTGGCATCGTATTGGGTCACAATGCAGTACAGTCCCTTACGCATACCTTTGCACAGTCCATTTTTATCACTTATGAGTTATAGTCCATAAGAGCACATTAAGTACCTTGCAGGGCAACACCACAGACTCCACCCTCCAAAGCAGCCATTTCCTTCAGGGGAACAAGGGTTGCCAACCTCCTGGTGGGGGCTGGAGATCACCCAGAATGATAACTGTTCTCCAGATAATAGAGACCAATTTCCCTGGAGAAAATGGCTGCTTTTACGCACGGCTGGTGAAAGCAACCCGGCTTGAGCGCCGCACCACTCCTCCCACCCGTGCGAGGCTGATGCAAGCCAAAAGTGGTCTGAGCTCAGCCCCAGACTCTTCCCTCCCCCCCCCCCGTCTCTGACGGTCTGCCAGGGCTAGAAGGCAGCACGCTTCGTCAGGCTGCGGCTCAGACCGGGTAAAGGAGTCCGCGGGAGACCCGACTGCCCCCCTGTTGCCCCCCTTCGAAAGTGCAGCTGCATGGAGGGTCCTTAGCAGCCCTTAGCTGGCTGGCAGAGGAGCAAGCGAGGGGGCGGAGGTGGAGGCAGGGGCGGCCGCCGGCCAGCTACAGTGCCACGCCCTGCCCACGCTGGCCAGGTGTGCCAGCAGCCGCCCCTACCTCCACCTCCGCCCCCTCGCTCCTCCACCAGACAGCTACAGTGCCACGCCTTGCCCATGCCGCCGCATGTCCTCCTCCTGCAGCTGGCAGAGTTCCACCCCCGGCGCTCCTCCCAGCTGCTGGCCAGGCGTGCCGGCGGCCGCCCCTGCCTCCCCTCCGGTGCCCTAACGGCTGGCTCGTGCTCTAGGTGAAGGCCTAGTTCGCCTAGTGGGCAAAAGCCAGCCCTGCCTATGTTTATCCAGTTCCCTCTTCAAGCCGTCCATGCTTGTAGCCGCCACCAACACCACTTCCTTTGGCAGTGAATTCCACGTGTTAATCACTCTCTGAGTGAAGAAGTACTTCCTTTTATCCGTTCTAACCTGACTGCTCAGTAATTTCATTGAGTACCCACAAGTTCTTGTATTGTGAGAAAGGGAGAAAAGTACCTCTTTCTCTACCTGCTCTATCCCATGCATAATCTTGTAAACCTCGATCATGTCACCCCTCAGTCATAATTTCTCCAAACTAAAGAGCCCCAAGTGCTTTAACCTTCCTTCACAGGGAAAGTGTTCCAACCCTTTAATCATTCTAGTTGCCATTTTCTGCACTTTTCCCAATGCTATAATAAACTTTCTGAGGTGTGGTGACCAGAATTGCACACAGTATTCCAAATAAGGTTGCACCATCGATTTATACAGGGGCATTATGATACTGGCTGATTTGTTTTCAGTTCCCTTCCTAATAATCCCCACCATAGCTCCAGATATTCCTATGCCACACCAATCACATACTAAGCACCTCACAGCTTCTTGTGAAACTGCAGTGGTAGAGGACTGGCTAATATATCCAGAATCCCACAGAGCATTTCTGCAGATGGAAGGTGGGAAATGATTTCTGTGGATGTCCTTGGAAGAAGCATTTGCAGGGGGGGGGGGGCAATTTGGGCTGCAATGGGGGGGGCAAGGAAGTGAGTCCACAGA